ACCACCAATTCAACTCTACAAAGAATACTGCGGACATTCTAAGAGAGAAAAATACCAAGATTCCAGAAACAGTGGCAGAGAGGCCACAATGAATGGAGTAGAAAGTGAAATGAAGAAGACAAACTGACAACTAATGACAGAAAAAGAACTCAATAGAATTGAGGCAGAGAAGATTGGATGGTAGGAACAGCTATTTTGGAGAAAACAAGACATCATAATAGCTAGTGCTGATTTAGTATCATCTTGTTTTGAAGTCCCATAAGCTTTTGTTCTTTTCAAAACTGCAGTCTCACTGTTTGAAAGTCCCCTCTATATGCTTTAATTTTGTAACTTCAACAACTATTTCTAAGATGACAATATGCAATTAACTAGTGATTTCCTACTGTTTATTTTTTTCTGAAATTCTGTATAACTTGTACCCTTTTTCTGTTTTTTTTTCTCTTTTTTCTCCTTAAATAAAATTTTTTAAAAAGTCCAAAAGCTCAAAAAAAAAAAAAAAAAAGCTTTTGTTCTTTGGTCTCCATCAGTCTTAACAGGTTTTATCTTATTGGATTTTATTATCCGTGATAATATAAACAAAAACTTTTATAGACAAGGAGATAATACAGAAACCATTGTTTATTTTCTGTTAGTTGCTTCTAAATACCCTGTAATACTTTCACTCTCTTGAATAGTTTTACATTGTCTTGATATGTTTGATGCTACAGTATACGAAGTTATACTCAAAGATTTCAAGGAAAGAGACACTATGGCAACTACTTTTATGTCAGGATATCTTGTGGTGAAACACTATTTTGCTTACATGGTTATGTTCTGCCCTGTGCTGTTTTGTTGTTATGTCCTCTTTTATCTCAATCTCCTTTTTTAAATTATTTACTTTTTTATTTTTATCTTTTTAATTAAGGGAAAAATAAATAAAAAATAGCAGGATACATTATAGTAACCTACTTTGATTTCCTATTAACTTGATTTGAAACCCTGTATTGCTCTCACCATCTTGTTTTGACTGATTTTATTCTATTCTGTTTTGCTTAATAGTACCAAGTTTGAAAGTATAGGCAACAACTGTGAAGACAATAAGATTCACTATGATGCCCATTCTGGTTTGACTATTATCTGCTTTTGAAGTCCTGTAATGTTTCCAATGTTTTGGTTTTATTAGTTTTGTTCTTTACTGTTTTGTTCAATTTTATTATAACTGATGATATAGGCAATTCTTTTTAATATAGCAAGAGGCATTATGGTAACCATTATTGATCACCTTGTATTCTGTTTTTACATTGTGTACTATGTCCATCCTTTTGATTTGACTGACTCTGTTTTGTTATGTCACATTTGGTTTTAATCTCTTCAAAAAAAAGTAATAAGAACTGTGGGAGTAATAAAACTCAAAATGTGTAATTATCATTGTAAAAAAGAGAGGAAAAGAAAGAGTTCTAAAGGATATAACTGCATGTATATTTAAGCGTGTAAGATAGATAACCATATTACTGAGTTTTTGTTGGATCATTGAACAGAACTGTTTGCAGTCTCACTGTTTTAATGTCCACTTTATATGCTTTAATTTTGTAACTTGAACAACTATTTCTAATGACAATATGTAATCAATTAACTAGTGATTTCCTGTTTTTTTTAAATTCTGTATAACTTATACCCTTTTTATGTTTTTTTTTTTCTTTTTCTCCTTAAATGAAATTTTAAAAAAAGACTTCCTGTGAGTCGGCACCATGCACAGGCTGACTGGGGGAGAGCTAGATGCCAGCACCATCCAGTATGAGGGCAGAGAGACCAGAAGAGCCAATGCCTCCTACCACCATAAGTGACCAACTGATCCAGAGAAACACAGGCTGCAATGATAGCTAATGCAGTAAAATACAATTTAATGCTTGTGGTGCTGAGTGCTTCACTGACTTTGCAGGCCTAAAGCCAGTAATCTAGTCATCTGTTAAGAGGGCAACAATGTGCAGTGTAGCATATATGGGGGATTCCTTCTGATGGGGGTAGCCATTGTTAATTCCCTATTATCTTGTTTCAAAATCATTCTCATTGTATCATTCTCATTGTTTTATTTGTTTGGGTTTTATTCTGTTTTATCATGTTTGATTCTATTTTATCTGATGGCATGGGCAGATATTTCAAAGATAACAAGATATATTATGGGAGCCATTTTGGATTTGCTATTATCTTGTTTTGAAATCTTTTATCACTTACACTGTCTTGTTTTGATTGGTTTTATTATGTTTTATTTTATTTATTATCTGGGTTTTATTTTCTTGGAAATAAAATTTTTAAAAATGAGAAAAAATATAGATAAAAGAATCCACCTCCTGGGAGAGCATCTGATTGGCTGAGTCCTGTCACGTGCCCTCCTTGTGAGGCTGGCCTGACCTGTCAGAAAGAACGGAGAATAATGTCTGGTTCTTTTGGCTTCTGGAGTGAGAAACTGTTCATCGCAAATATACACTGTGGGGAATTCTTCAAAAAGGGGAATGATGCTCTGGAGGGAGTTGGGTTTAGAGGCTGGAGGCCAAATAACAGCAGTGTGCATCACACTGTGTCTGCTTCCTAGGCAAAAGCTTTTAAGGCAAGGACTATGAAACTTTGTCTTTATAACCTACATGTCTACTGCCTGGCACTGAATGTGTAGAAGCTTAGTAGATAGTTTTTAAGAAGACGCTTTTCCATTCTAGAAATCAAACACACCTAGAAAAGCTGATGCTTGATCCTTTGTGAATGCAACAATAGATTTTTAAAGAATTTATTGCTTAAGGGTTTTCAAATTTAGAAGCAAGACTTGGGTGCACAGGCAAGGTCTGTCTGTACAGGCACAGACCTTGTGTGATAGATAGACAGACACACAGACCGCACCTCCCTGCACTGGAGAGAGCAGGTGGGCTTTCTGCTACTTTTCCTGACACTGGAGTCCCTGTCACAGTTAGACTCCTAGGCTCCCTTTCCAACTAGCATGAGGGTAACTGCGGGCAACTAAGAAGGAAGAGCTGTTTTCATTTTTACTGTTTCAGATATCACTTTGGCTGCTCTTTCCAAAGCAATTACATATAAAACGTGTCCTTCAAGGGAAATTCGAGAGCCTCTTCCTCAGAGGTTGTGTAGGGTTACCTAAGAACTTTCCTAGGTGAGGGGTTGAAAAGAGTCAATCACTGTGCTCCCAAGCTGGCTCTATCTTCTCCCTGAAAAACTTTTAGAGAGTGAACCTCACTGCTTAGCCATCAGTGTCCCCTGAGTGGGCCTCCATAACCATTTACAGGAGCACATTGCTCAAAATATAGCCTACATTTCCCAGAATACCCTGCAGCTAAAAGCAGTCATGTGACTGAGTTCTGACCAATAGGATGTGAATGGGGGTGTATATATTTCCTGACTGATATTTCATTTCATTTCTCTTTTCTCTTTCTTTCTTTCTTTCTTTTTTTTTTTTGAGAGACTCTATGTATCCCAGACTGGCCTGGAGCTCACAGTGAACCTCCTGCCTCAGCCTCCCAAGTGTTGGAATTGTAGGTCTATCTGGCCTGACTGGCACCTTTATAGGGAAAGAATTTATCTTTCCTTTCCCTTTTTCTCCTTTCCTGCTGGCTGGGTTGTGGACATGGTAGTACGTTCAGATCATCTGCATGAGGACATCATATTAAGAATGGCAGAGTAAGAAGACAGAAAGAATCTAGGTCTCTGACATATTACAGTTGCCATAGCAGCCCTGAACTGTCATCCACAAGCTATTTCTGAGACAAGAGTGCACCTATAGTTTCTGTCATTGTCACTTTGAGTTGCTATTAGAACAGCAGATCTGATATCTTGAGTGTCAGCAAACTGTGACCCAATCTGATCCACCACTATTTCTCATAAGTAAAGTTTTCCTGAAACACAACTACAGAGATTTGTTGTATGCATCATATACAGCTGCATTCTCCCTACAATCACAGGTAGGAAAGAGACCATATGGATCACAAAGCCTAAACTGTTTGCTATTTAGGCCTTTATAGTAAAGTTTACTAGTCCCACTGATGCATACCAAAATACTAATCATGTTTATCTTAGGTTATTTCACTCTTTCTGTTTTCTAAATTTATTGCAATAAATGTTTTATCATCTGACAGATTCTAATAAATTTAATTTAAATACTTAAGTTCTACTTGTAACCTATTACTATTGTTGTGATCACCCTGCCCTTCTCCAAACATCTCTGTCTCAACTAGGGTGAATTTTACCCTATTTAAATCCACAATATTCATGCTTTTATTGTCATTCTCTTTCTTGCCAGAAATGTTTGAGCCAATACCATCTCCCACAGAAATAATGAATTTGGTTTTGCACTTGGGAGGATATTTTGTTTAATATAGGATCAGCTGTGCTAACAGCAACTCAAAAGACAGTGACATAAATGAACACCTCAAGAGCAGTTTGTACATAAATAGTACAGGGCTGTTATGGCAGCAGCAGAACTAATCTGTAGCCAGAATCCAACTTGGTGAGGATAATACTGGCTTTTGTTACTGGGAAGTCCACAGACGGTAACAATGTCAGATATAGCTTGATCTAGGGTGCAAACAATATGACCAAGCCTATTTTCTCCAAATGTTTTGGCTCTGCTTACCTCCAATAATCTGTTTCATCCTTAAGTAGATTCTGTGTACCCTGAAAATGAGTCTGCTGGAAGGCTGGAGCATGCATCTTTTTGGTTAACTATCTATAAAGTGTGTCCACATAGCGAACTTCACAGAAAGTTCTGATTGGACAAAATTTATGTCTCAAACAGTCATTGTGTCTAGGAGAATGGAATAATTCAATCAGCTGTGTGAGAAGGCTCGGGGGTCAACAATGAACTCTTTTTCTCGTGAAAGAGTGTTTTCATTATACAAAAAGTTAAAAGGAGGCACAAGAGATAAAAATAAAAAACAGCAGCTGCTCACTTCAGGCCACTTGGAATTCTCGTGTTTTGATTGCTGTTGGGTGTGAGATGTAACATTTATTTGAAGCCTAAATGTGCGATCATATTTTCTGATTCGGATGCTACTCAATTATTGTTTAAAGTACTACACCAAGCTCGGCACATCACAGTGCCCAGGTGCACACTGAATAATAATTGTTTTTTCTTTCTTTGTTTTCATCATAGTCAAGACTGTGGTTTACAGTTTTAAGTCCCTGTTTGAAGACTGAGATGTAGTCCACAATCAAGTTTCTCCAAATAACTGGCTATAAAATGACACCATCAGGCACAGTAGACAAAGAATGGCATACGGAATTGAGCAATGTGGATTTGAAGCTCTGATCATCTACTTCTTGGATGTCACCAACCAGTTATTATACGTCTTTGGGAGTCAGTTTTCTCCTTCTAAAATGGAGGTAATAAGATTGAGTTCTGATTTTTTTTAAGGATTCAATCTCTCCTTCCATGTGATTCCATTTTAGGCTTTCAATTATTTGGGTGCAAACTTGTCTCTGTCTATTTAGCTCTCAAGTTATTGACAGTGAACAGAGGAGCATTTGGAGGGAGAAAATTTGTTGATAAAATCAAATTCAAAGCTGCCCAGTAGGGCAGCCAACTGGCTTCAGATCCATTACCTTATCAGATTGGATCTTGGCTGCACTGCCAAGCAGGGCTCCAGGTAAGTGCTTGGAATCTATCATCTGCTGTAGATCCAGAAAGGGCTACAAGAGGAAGTCAGTCATCTTGTTAAGTTGCTGCTTCAGCTGCTATTCACTTTTGAAGGCAGTAGATGGTTTTTCTCCTTTCGTTTTTTAAAATGCGTTCATTTGTCTCATTCTAGTCACATAGGAGCCAGAGGAGGAGAAGAGCTGAGGACCTTGGGAATTCTGAGTGATGGGCTCAGCCCTCATCTGCAGCACTCCTGCCGGCCTCTATTGGCCCCGTTGCCTCATCTGCAAAGTTGGGACAATGATCTGGAGTAACCTGCTGGGTTAGAGAGCTGACACACGTCACAGCGGACAATGGGATGAGCCAGAACTATAAAACAGTGCTGTGTTGAACAATAAGGTGCCAAGGCTGGGATGAAGGCAAACAAAAGCCCAGAAAAGCAACCGGACACTGTTTGGACAGTGTGAAAGATCATGGGCAGGTCAGCATTTCAGCAATGCTGTGCACAACCTGGAGAGGGCTACTTCTGTTTCTGAAGGGGAAACTAAGGCACAGCGCATTTTTTCACATCTGGGTATACTGTGGGAGGATCTTCTAGACTGTAAACAAAGACTTGGTTGCCCAAGGTGATGGGATTTAATGTAAAGGTGCTTAGCTATCAAAAAAGCCCAGAAAGTCAACATCAACTGAAAAACCAGCCCAGCAGGGCTCTAGAAGGTGGCACCAGGAACAGTCACAAGTCTAGTGGTCCCCTCTTGTGACTCTGCGTCCCTCTTCACTGCTTCTACTAGACTGAGTCTGCATCCTTTACACCTGCTGGCTTTTCTGGTTTTTCAATTTATTTTTAACTCATAATTAAAAACATAAAATCATATATATGGATAGGGTATCATGGACCTTTTGTATATATCATGTCTTGTTTAAATTCGGTTAAAAATATCCGTCTCCAAGCTGGATGTAGGGATGCAGCCTATAATCCCAGTACTCAGGATGCTGAGGCAGGAGGATTGAGGTGAAGTTAAGGCGAGCCTGGGCTGCATAGTAAGATCAAAGCCAGGCAGAACTGCATAGTGAAACCCATTCTGAAAACACAAAAACAAAAGCATATCTGTCTCATCAAATATTTGTTGTCTCTTTACAGCAAAATCTTTCAAAATTCTTTCGTCTGCTTTTGGAAATGTATAGCTGCTGTGTACGGTCACTGCAATAGTACACCAGAGCTTCTCACTCCTGTCTCTCTAGAACTTAGTATCTGTTCACCAACCTTGCTCCAATCGCCACCCCCAATCTCTGGTTGTATACCCAGTGGGAGATTGCTGGGTCACATGGTAGCCTATTTTTCATTTTTCAAAGAACTTCTGTACTGATTTTCATAAAGGCTCTACTGACCTTCCCCCACCAGCCTGTCAGGATTCACCACAGCTTACTACCTTTTGTCTTTGCTCTTTCTGCTTCTTTTTCAACTTCATGGTTGTTGGTTGCTCACAGCTTGTCGGTCTCCTGGTGTCTGTTTGCTGCCCTTGTACCTTCTTTTAAATGCTAGTTCGTCCTGCTACTCACTACATGGCTCAAATTCTAGAAGAAGCTGCCTATAAAATAGAAGCCTCTATCTCAGGCTCCAAGTTCTGTTTAATTGTTGGTAGCCAGAACTGTGGGGTCTTATGAGCCAAACATGGCATTTTATCTGTAAGCCATGAAGAAAAGAATCTATGAAACTCCTGGCATTTTAGGCCCTCCAGTCATGTCTAGTGTTGAGTATAGGTATTTCATCTCTACTTTGCACTGTGAAAGGTTGGAGGCTGTTACACTGGCGATGTCACTGTAATAGAGAATGTGACCTGCATTGTGTGAGAGCTACTAAAATGTTCAGTGGGAATTCAGAAAGAAAACTGATTTGAACTGGTGACTCAGAAATGCATCATGGGTAAGGGGAAAGTGAAATTGAGCGTCAAAACATAGCAGAATGTTGATAGAGACGAAGGAGGAGGGTAAGTAGGGAGAGCAGTGATAAAGCCAAGCACAGGCCTGGAGAGTTTCAGGAGAGTCAGGACTCACCTGGTTTGGGTCGGGACAGGAGAAGAGAAGCTAAATCTGTAAAACCTGAATTTCAAAGTAAAGAGTCTGCACTTTATTTATGGGTTGGCATTGGAGGTGTCATTAAATAGTGCCCATGTGGGCAGTGAAAGGGTTGACATTGTGCTAGGCAAAGTCTTCTGGCAGCTGGATAGAGGGTTGGGAGGAGACAACAGAAGACAAGGAGGTTATTATTGTCACTAAGGTGTGTCAGAGAAAACAAGACCAGACAATGGATGTGGAATAATTTCAGAGGTAGAAAATAAGAGCTGATGGTTCCCAAGAGCCTTTGCATAGCCTGTTCTCGGGTCTTTCTTTACAGGGCTTTGTTTAATCCACAGTGGTAGTGCAGGGTATGTCTTTTTGTCTTAGTTTATAGGTTGTGAAATAGACTCAGGTCAAGGCAGTGACCTGTTAAGCGGCACATTAGTGAGTAATAGAGCTGGACTGACCTAGGTCTAGGGGACTCCCAAGGCCGCGGTCACTTGCGAGTTTTGGGCTCTCTCCCAAGAGGACTTGTGGTTGCCTTAATGAGGTGGGCAAGAAAGAGTGGTATCGAAGAGTTTCAAGTTTTCAGGAGTGGGTGGTGGAGAGGAGACCACTCCTGAGACAGAAATTAGGAGACAAGGAATACCTTTTGCTTGGGAGTTCTGAGTCTGGAAGGAGATCTGGGGAGACGAGTGAGGTTATGAGCTTATTTTGGCCTTCCCTCAAGGCAAAGCCATGAATGAACCTGAGCAGTAGTGGAAACTCGAGGCCGTGGAGAGGTCAGAAGAGTCAGAACTGCAAAATGGGCCAATCAATTACTCCATCTCTTCCCTTGTATTTGGACTGGCATGAATGACTGCTCTGTTCCCTAGGCCTCTGTCACACTGCCCTGTAAAGCCTGGCTGATCTTCCACACCTGGCCATTGGTACTAGACAATGTCCTCACATGGACCCAGTCTCCCACCATCCCACCCGCGTGGCCATGGGTTGACCAGTAGTCTGCCCCACCTGCTGGATGATTAATACCAAGAACTTAGTTTTCTAAAGAAATTGCTTAGTTTTTCACACAAATAAGCACCTGGTAAAACCATGCCTTTAATTCTGTAGACAACAACTGACTAATCCATCCATGTTCCAAGGATACAGCTGAGTATTTATGAGCCCTTCTTGAGAATCTGTTTTCCAGATCCAGTGCTATAGACAACCACTTAATCTATGTGGACAGAGGTGTATTTGAATCTTAGCAGTGAATACAGCTTTGCTCAAACAAAGGCACAAATTTGTTTACAGTTGTTTGTACTTTTACCAAACTTCAAGTAATTCATTTTATTATATCAGGTGCAGTATGCCTACATCTGTCTCCATGGATTATTATTATAAATACTAATCGTACTAGGCATGCTCATTCAGTTTTAATTTTTATTAGCAAATGTTCGCATTACTTATTGATTACAGTCCTTGTGTGGAGTTGGTATATGTATAGAAAGCATCTCAGTTCTTTTTCTCATCCTTTATCCCTTCCTTCTCTCCCCCTTACCTCCATCTCTATCCTCTTCACATTTAGAAGACCTATCTACCTCCTTACTTCCTATTGTATATCTTTCACTTTTGCTCTTTATATTTTGGGTTTCTCATATGAAAGAAATCATGTATTTAACTTTGTGTGTCTTGTTTATTTCTCTTAACATTATGGTCTCGAGATGCGTGCATTTTTCTAGAAATGATTCAAACTTATCATTATTTATGGCAGAGTAATACTCCACTGTGTATAAATATTATATTTTCTTTGTCCATTCATATGTTGATGGATATAAAGCCTGCTTCCAAGATTTATCTATCATGAATCATGCTGCTGTACACATAGGTATACATGCATCACTGTGATATAATGTCTTTAACTCCTTCGGGAAGATATCCAGGAGGGGAATACCTAGGTCAAAGGGAATTTCCAGCGTTAGCTTTTAGAGGAATCACCATGCTGACTTCCAAAGTGGTTGTACTAGTTTATATTCCCACCAATGTAAGAGAATTCCTTCTGTCCTGAAGTCTTACCAGCATTTATTATTTGATTTCTTGATAATGGCCATTTTTCTGGAGTAAGATGGAATTATTATTTACTGATCACTTTTTTTGCCAGGAATTAAAAATCTTCAGGAGGGTATGTGTGCCCAGCTCATGCTATTTTGCATCTACTTTGGCACATTTCCCCCAGATTAGGTCAGTGAACCGCGTGTGTGGTAACTGGTGCTCTGGTTCTCCTCCAGTCAGTGGTACATTTTCTTTCTTCTCCCGCCCACACCATCCACAGTATCCAGATCACACATCCCTCCATTTCTGTCTGTATGCACAACTCCTGGGCCACCGTTTGCATCCACTGGGTTCTGGCCAACTATAGCTCACAGGCCAAGGCCAACTGTGCCCATTTTTATAGACAGTAACAATAAGAGCATCAAAAATAAACTGGATATTCGTAAGAACCAACAATGTATCATTCTTAACTATAGATAAGGATCTATAATTATAGTATAAATGCAAAGACATCAAATATTGACTTACAACAAATATCTACTGAATGCAAGAACTTAACATCTACCAACAATAGAACAGCATTTAATATTTAATAGCATAGAATTAACTAACTGTCCAAAGTTTCTTAAAGCTTAATTGTTAGACTAGTAAAGATAGAGCCAATGGAGATGTGAAGAATGAGAAAAGTAAAACTTGAAATATTAAAGGCAAATGAGAAGAGAGAAAATTGATACAGAGAGTCTTATTGAGCAGTAAAAGGACATGAATAGTATTAGGTTAACAGTAACAGAAAAAAATTAACAAGAAAAGGAAAAAACAGCAAAATGAAAGAAAAAAATAAAATAACATGGAAAAAGGCTAAAAGTTCTCAAGGAAAGAGACACTATGGTAACTACTTTTATGTCGGGATGTCTTGTGGTGAAACACTATTTTGCTTAAATGGTTATGCTTTGACCTGAGCTGTTTTGTTGGTTAGCCCTCGTTTATCTCAGTCTCCTTTTTTTAATTATTTACTTTTTAATTTTTTTCTTTTTAATTAAGGGAAAAATTTTTTAAAAAGCATGATATATTATTATAGTAACCCACTTTGATTTCCTATTAACTTGATTTGAAACCCTGTATAGCCCTCACCATCTTGCTTTGACTGATTTTCCTCTACTCTGCTTTGCTGGATAGTACCAAGTTCGAAAGTATAGGTAACAACTGTAAAGACAATAAGATTCATTATGACGCCCATTCCGGTTGACTATTATCTTCTTTTAAAGCCCTGTAATGTCTCCAATGTTTTGGTTTTATTCTTTATTGTTTTGTTCAATTTTACTACAACTGATGATATAGGCAATTCTTTTTAAGATAGCAAGAGGCAGTATGGTAACCATTGCTGATCACCTAGTATTTTGTTTTTACATTATCTATTATGTCCATCCTTTTGATTTGACCGACTCTGTTCTGTTATGTCACATTTGGTTTTACTCTCTTCAAAAAAAAGTAATAAGAACTGTGGGAGTAATAAAACCTAAAATGTGTAATTGTCATTGTACAAAAGAAAGGAAAAGAAAGTGCTCTAAAGAATATAACCGTATATATATTTAAGTGTATAAGATAGATAACCATATTACTGAGTTTTGTTGGATCATTGAACAAAACTGTTTCCAGTCTCACTGTTTGAAAGTCCACTTTACATGCTTTAATTTTGTAACTTGAACAACTATTTCTAAAATAACAATATGTAATCTATTAACTAGTGATTTCCTATTGTTTATTTTTTCTGAAATTCTATTTAACTTGTACTCTATTTCTTTTTTTCTTTTTCTCCTTAATAAAAAAGGCTAAAAGTTCTATAGAAAAGAAACAAAGAAAATAGACCCCAAATCCCCCCAAAATCAAGGAAGGAATAAACAAGTGAAAAAAATAGCATCCATTAAAAAAATTTTCTGTGTTTTCAAATGAGTGATCTCTTTCCAGGTTCTATAATCGTAAAAGCTAGCAACTCACAATTTTCTCCACCTAGGTTTCCAGTTGTGGATTTATGAAGTACCCTGCTCCAGGAGCCCCTCTGTCCACACACCCCAGTCTGTGACAACCGTTCAAGAAACGGTGTGTCCTTGGCCACATCGTAGATGGGAAAAGCAATCAACCCTCGATCTCTGCTGGATGCAGGCGATGGGGAAGGAACTCAAGCAGATTGTTGGACTTAATGCAGACACTTTCAGGTCCCGCCTCCTCTGAAAGCCACATTCTCTGTGCCTACTTCTTCACTAGGGGGATCAGAGCCCAGGGCCTCTCTAACCTGAGGTTAAACTTCTCAGGGAATCTATGTGTAATCTCACCCTCCTTAGTGCTGTCTCAGCGGCTGTCTCTCATCCAGTCACTGCAAACTCTGAAGTGGAGTTTTTGGTGGCCATCTTAAGTGATCCCTTCCAAAAATAGAGGCTGCTTAAACACTCTGGCAATGTAGCAAGCACTGCCCTGGCTTTTTCCCCTACTCTAGCTCTTTGTGAAGGAGTCACTGTTGGAGGAAAACCCCACACTGTTTTTGTAGTTTATTATAAGTGTGGACTTTTCTTAGGGCTAGTGCTACAGGCCGCGTCTGTTATTTCTTCCTGAAGCTGTCTGTTCTCCAGGGCTTACCTTCTCTCCTAGGGCATTGGCCCTTCTATGATTAGATTGGTTGATTGATAATTGACTCTGCTGACTGGTGTCAGAGGGAAACAAAACACATAATGGGTTTGGAGTTCATGGGTGGCTATGGGCAGGGGTTGGAATCTAGGGGTGCAAACTCAGCTAGGGAAGAGAGTAGCATGTAGCATAAGTGTTTTACATGTAGTAATACTGAGTCTTTAATTCCACTTAAAGGATGAGTAAACACACAGTGAAGTTATTTAACTAATAAACAACAGTTAATTAAATGACTATTAGATTTTGGTTGCTCTGACAAAATATCTGGAAAAGGCAACTTACAGGAGGAAAGATTTATTTTGGCTTACAGTTTCAGAGATTTCAGTTCATGATCCTTTGTTCTAGGCTCGTGGCAGCCAGGAAGAAGAGACTTTGGGGTATAGTTTAGATCTAAACTGTAAAGCCATAAGAGTGAAAAAGCCCAGATTTTGTCCAACTTCATACCTTTAACTCTTTATGTAAGATAAACTTATGTATGATAAACTCTGTGAAGTCTGTGTGGTTCACTTTGTTATTCTAATACTTTCCATATAGCAAGTGATCAGTACATGTGCTCAAGATTGAGTTGCACTGTCTTTTTCTGACATAGCTATATTATATTATATTATATTATATATGAAGTATATGATATATCATATTACATATGTACTATGTATAGTGTATGACATATATAATATTATCATACCATATTATATATTACATAACACATTATAGAAGGTCTAGATTTCTTAGGTATAGTATTGTTTAGATAAAATGGGGGAAGAGTGTTGTAATTGAGATCCCAAGGGGACATAAGTGAGATTCTGGAGCTAGTGAGAGGAGGGCAGGATGGTTGGGGTACAGGGGTCTGTATACGCCATCTAATGTCCATGGAAGACGATTCAATGGGGAAACACATGGGGCAGGAAGCTGATGACTTCATGGTAGTTTTCTCCATTTTGGAAGATGGCTACATTCTGTAGAACAAGACTGACTCTTACGTAAAGGGATCAACTCTCCTGCCTCAACTGACATTTAATGGGTGTTGTGAATTCAGTAGTCACTTCTCCCCTGCAACTGATAGTGGCTTTCTACCTATGTCAAGTCAGGATTCTCAGCCAGAATCTGATTTCACCATAGGGTTTGCAGAGACCTGAAGTTGTGCAAATGTACCTTCGTGGAGCATCCTCCAGGGGCAGAACTCACCCTCCAAGAAAAGAATCCAGGCCCCATATGTAGGGCACAGCAAGTGTCCCAGGGCCCCAGTCTAACAGTCTGCCTCCCACACCTCTCATCTGATTTCCCATGCACCTGCTGGGGAGTCTTAATATAGTGGTTTCTCTAGAATCTGTGCCAGACCTGGAGCAAAATTCACACTATCACAGAGACCCACACAGCAAGGTGCCACTCCAGCAGAGTCAGGGGATTCTCTTTAGGAGTGGAGAAGATGGAATGGCTTTCTTGCCACTTTGGGCTAGTTTGGGCAACTTTGGAAACGTGATTGTGGGTGGCATAAATCACACATAGATGGCAGCAGGTCTCACTATGGCAAGAGCGAATCAACAGATGGCTTTGTGGAACCCCAGGTGAGCTGATCAGAGCATTGCAATCTTTTTGGTTCATCTTCCTGTGAACAAGAAGCTTCTCTTGCAGTTCCTTCTAGGAATACAGGACATAGAGGAAGAAAGTGACATAGAGCCAAGAGAGCCTACACATCAGTCCTATGACATACACATACACAAGATGTCGATGTCCGCTCTCGGCCGGCAGGAAGGACACACGACACAGTCTGGTAGTGGACAACCTTTTCTTTTTATTTTCCTTCTCCGTACAGCCTGCCCTGGGTTCTCCCAGCTGAAGCCTCCTCTGGTCCGCTCCCCGCGGCTCCTTTTGTGCTTTAGTCTGCCCCAAAGCCTCTATCGGTCCGCTCTCCGCGGCTCCTTCTGGGCTTTTACTTTTGGGCTTCTATCT